AATATAAAAATATAATAATACAATATATTTATATTTATTGAATGTAATATATATATATATATATATATACACACACACACACACACACACTACACACACACACATATTACACATACACACACAGATACAAGCACTGACTTTTAATATAATGTATAATAATATAATATAATAATATAATAATATATATAATATATATATATACACACACACACGCACACACACACATATATACACATACACAGAGACAAATACTAACTTTTAATATAATGTATAATAATATAATATAATATAAATATATATTTATATTTATTGAATTTAATATTATATATATATATATATATATATATATATACACACACACACACACACATACATATACGCACAGGTATAGATTAGGCCTGGGTAACAACGGAAAAATTTGTTTCTAAAATCGATTCGTTTTTTGGGGGTTTTTGTGTTTCGTTATTTAAAATAATTACAAAATTTTCCTTTTAAAAAGTTCGATATTTACGAAATTTCGTAAATGTGAAAAAAATTACAAAACATTAACGAATCGATTTCCGAAACAATAACGAATCGATTCGTTAATGGCGGACGCGACCGCGCAATACGCTAAAAAACCTCCAAATGGGACAGGGAGAACTTCTGAAGCTTCCCTCTCCCTCTGTTGTTGACTGTTGGTGTGATATTATAATTTTTTTTACTAATTAAACAAAAAACAACCATAAAACTTGCCCCAGACATGCGGAAATAATAACGAAACGACCTCAAAACAATAACGAAACGAATACAATAACGAAATACGAAGCATTTACAAAACTATTTAAAAATTCGTTTTTTTGAAAAATTGCTCCAGAATGGTTCGTTATCGTTTTGTAATTAAAAAAATTAACGAATTATTAACGAATTATGAATTAACGAAACGAAACCGCCCAGCCCTAATATACACACTACACACACACACACACGTATATATATATACATACCTACATATATACACACAGATATAGATATATAGATACACACACACACACACCAAAATCCATGGATAATCCAACACGCAAACTAGTTCAACAGGCAAATATAGACTGGCTCCCAATGCAAAGGAACACCCACCAACTCCCAAAAAACTGATGTGACTCCATGAAAAGCTGCCATTAATGGACTTTTAATATTTTTTGGCACTTTGGAGCTAATTTCTCTCCCTCTCCCTTTCTCTCCCGAGCCAAACCCACACCACACGAGCCAAAGGAAACAATAAACACGCCGCTGCCGAGTTTATTTTAGCCTAAGTCCGATAATCTCTAGGGCTGGAGCCGTCTCCCTTGCAATGGGAGCCGCTAAACCGGGGGCTTTGGGGCTTGCGAAACGTCGAAAGGACGGCAAAGGGAAAACAGAAGCCGCTAAGCCCTCCCTCCACAGAAGAAAGCAATTAGGGTGGCCCAGGAGTGCCCGAAGCCACCCAGGAAAAATTGGGCCTTCGGAAATATGGGTAATGATTTGGGACTCTCTTGCCTTTTGGTCCCATATTGTTCGCAGTAGATTGGGTCCTAAATCGGTAGAATTGGATTTGCTCCGAAACCTATCCGTACTTGACAGTTTCGAAAACAGCCCACCGGAGTACCTGGGTGTTTTCGTTCCGAAACGTCGTGCCATCTTAATCTTTTGGCCACAGAAGTCATTCCCCTCCTGTAAACAGCTTGAGATGGGCACTCCAATGCCACGTTGGAGATGAGTGAGTTCTGTTCCCAGTAGATGGGTCCTAAATCGGTAAAATTGGATTTGCTCCGAAACCTATCCGTACTTGACAGTTTCGAAAACAGCCCGCAGGAGTACCTGGGTGTTTTTGTTCCGAAACGTCGTGCCATCTTAATCTTTTGGCCACAGAAGTCATTCCCCTCCTGTAAACAGCTTGAGATGGGAACTCCAATGCCACGTTGGAGATGAGTGAGCTCTGTTCCCAGTAGATTGGATCCTAAATTGGTAGAATTGGATTTGCTCCGAAAACTATCCGTACTTGACAGTTTTGAAAACAGCCTGCCGGAGTATCCGAGTGTTTTCTTTCCGAAACGTTGTGCCATCGTAATCTTTTGGCCACGCAAGTCATTCCCCTCCTGTAAACAGTTTGAGATGGGCACTCCAATGCCACGTTGGAGATGAGTGAGTTCTGTTCCCAGTAGATTGGGTCCTAAATTGGTAAAATTGGATTTGCTCCGAAACCTATCCATGCTTGACGGTTTCGGAAACAGCCCGCCGGAGTACCCAGGTGTTTTCGTTCTGAAACGTTGTGCCGTCTTAATCTTTTGGCCACGCAAATCATTCCTCTCCTGTAAACAGCTTGTGATGGGCACTCTAATGCTACGTTGGAGATGAGTGAGTTCTGTTCCCAGTAGATTGGGTCCTAAATTGGTAGAATTGGATTTGCTCCGAAACCTATCCTTACTTGATGGTTTCGGAAACAGCCCGCTGGAGTACCCAGTTGTTTTCGTTCTGAAACGTTGTGCCATCTTAATCTTTTGGCCACGCAAGTCATTCCTCTCCTGTAAACAGCTTGAGATGGGCACTCCAATGCTACTGTTCCCAGTAGATTGGGTCCTACATTGGTAGAATTGGATTTGCTCCGAAATCTATCCGTACTTGACAGTTTCAAAAACAACCCGCCGGAGTACCCGGGTGTTTTCGTTCCGAAACGTTGTACTGTCTTAATCTTTTGGCCACACAAGTCATTCCTCTCCTGTAAAGAGCTTGTGATGGGCACTCCAATGCCACGTTGGAGAGGAGTGAGCTCTGTTCCCAGTAGATTGGGTCCTAAATTGGTAGAATTGGATTTGCTCCGAAACCTATCCGTACTTGACGGTTTCGGAAACATCCCACCAGAGTACCCAGGTGTTTTCGTTCCGAAACGTCATGCCGTCTTAATCTTTTGGCCACACAAGTCATTCCCCTCCTGTAAACAGCTTGAGATGGGCACTCCAATGCTACTGTTCCCAGTAGATTGGGTCCTACATTGGTAGAATTGGATTTGCTCCGAAACCTATCCATACTTGACAGTTTCAAAACCAGCCCTCCGGAGTACCTGGGTGTTTTCATTCCCAAATGTCGTGTCATCTTAATCTTTTGGCCACAGAAGTCATTCCTCTCTTTTAAACAGCTTGAGATGGGCACTCCAATGCCACGTTGGAGAGGAGTGAGCTCTGTTCCCAGTAGATTGGGTCCAAAATTGGTAGAATTGGATTTGCTCTGAAACCTATCCGTACTTGACAGTTTCGAAACTAGCCCTCTGGACTACCTGGGTGTTTTCATTCCGAAATGTCGTGCCGTCTTAATCTTTTGGCCACGCAAGTCATTCCCCTCCTGTAAACAGCTTGCGATTGGCACTCCAATGCCAGTTGGAGATGAGTGAGCTCTGTTCCCAGTAGATTGGGTCCTAAATTGGTAGAACTGGATTTGCTCCAAAACCTATCCGTACTTGACAGTTTCGAAACCAGCCCGCCGGAGTACCCGGGTGTTTTCGTTCCGAAACGTCGTGCCGTCTTAATCTTTTGGCCACGCAAGTCATTCCCCTCCTGTAAACAGTTTGAGATGGGCACTCCAATGCCACGCTGGAGATGAGTGAGGCCTGATGGTACAGTTGACATTTACCAGGTTCCATATTGGTGTGAATGGATATATGAAGACAAAGTTGGCATCCGACCCATGTTAAGTTTATGTACGTCTTCGGCACTTCCTTCTAACGACTGGTTTAGATTCCGATACTATATAAGGGCCTGAGATCGGCCATCCAAGATTGATGTGCTGCAGTGGCACAATGGGTTAAACCTTGTGCTGCTGAACTGCTGACCTGAAAGTCAGTACTTCAGAACCACAAGGCGGAGTGAGCTCCCATCTGTCAGCTCCAGTTCATGACTAAAGCCGATAGGAGTTTGTGATACAGTAACATCTGGAAGACTCTTGTGTGTTCTGCTCAATCACGATAGTAGGAGCTGTAGTGGTGCAATCGGTTAACCCCTTGTGCTGCTGAACTGCTGACCTGAAGGTCGGTTGTTCAAATCCGCAAGACGGAGTGAGCTCCCATCTGTCAGCTCCAGCTCATGACTAAAGCTGATGAGAGTTGTGAAACAGTAACTTCTGGAAGGCGGATGTTTGCTCTGCTCAGTCAGGATAGTAGGAGCTGCGGTTGTACCTGAAGGTCGGCGGTTTGAATCCGAGATGAGGTGAGCTCCCATCTGTCAGCTCCAGCTTCCCATGCGGGGACATGAGAGAAGCCTCCCACAGGATGGTAACACATTCAGGTATCCCCTGGGCAACGTCTATTTTCTCACACCTGCTTCTGACACGATTTTTAAAAAGCTCCAGCTCCTGCCAACCTAGCAGTTCAAAAAAATGCAAATGTGAGTAGATAAATAGGTACCGCTTCAGTGGGAAAAGGCAAAGAGATGCTCCAAGCAATCTTACCAGCCACACAACCACAAGGTGACAACACAGGCTCCTCACCTTGGAAATGGAAGAAAAGACTTCCCTAGAGCCAGAAATGAGCACCATCTCTAGAAGCCAGAAATGAAAGGAGAAGCCTTTGCCTTTGTTTGTGTTTGCATGTCTCATTGTATATAATTGTAAAGGCATTGAATGTTTGCCTATGTATTTAAATCTTGTAATCCACTCTGAGTCTCCACGAGAAGAAGGGCAGAACATAAATTATATTATTATTATTATGTCAGCGAAGTATCACTCCCCTGAGGCAGGCCGTTCTTCTGTTTCCGCCATCTGCTTCTCCGGCCCTGGAACTCAACAAAAAAGCTCCTGTTTTGTAGCAGATTTCCTATGAAGCGGGTGAGGTGGTAGTCGTTTTCGATATTTTTTGAGATGCTTAATAATTGAAGAAATACCATAATGCCGAAAGGACCCAAAGGAAGGGGGCCTGCAATGGGGAATAACTGATTATAGAGGAGGCATATCTAGCTCATTCGATTCAATATGATGTTCTTTTTCCCCCTCCACAGCCTTTGGCCAAAGGAGCTTTCCTCCGAGGATCGGGGCTGAACTTAACCACAGGAAGATTCACAGCATCCATATCAGGCATTTATCAGTTCTCGGCTAACGTCCACATTGGTGAGTGCGGCATCTTGTCACTTCCCTTTGCCAACTGTATCATTTCAGAATGGCCTGCCTCAGGGGAGTGTGCTTGCACCATCAATGTTTAACATTTACACACATGACCAGCCACTGCCAGAAGAGACAGAGAGTTTCATCTATGCTGATGATCATGCCATCACCGCCCAGACAGTGAGCTTTGAAAGGATTGAGCAGAAGCTCTCCAAAGCTTTAGGTGCTCTTACGACCTATTAAAGAGAAAACCAGCTTGCTTAATCAGTGTTTAACCTTTACACACATGACCAGCCACTGCCAGAAGGGACAGAGAGTTTCATCTATGCTGACGATCATGCCATCACCACCCAACCAGTGAGCTTTGAAAGGGTTGAGCAGAAGCTCTCCAAAGCTTTAGGTGCTCTTACTGCCTATTACAGGGAAAACTAGTTTGTACCATCAATGTTTCACATTTACACAAATGACCAGCCACTGCCAGAAGGGACAGAAGTTTCATCTATGCTGACGATCATACCATCACCGCCCAAACAGTGAGCTTTGAAAGGGCTGAGCAGAAGCTCTCTGAAGCTTTAGGTGCTCTTACTGCCTATTACAGGGAAAACTAGTTTGCACCATCAATGTTTAACATTGACACAAATGACCAGCCACTACCAGAAGGGACAGAAGTTTCATCTATGCTGACGATCATGCCATCACTGCCCAAAGTGAGCTTTGAAAGGGTTGATCGGAAGCTCTCCGAAGCTCTAGGCCAGTGTTTCTCAACCTTCCTAATGCCATGACCCCATAGTTTCCCATGTTGTGGTGACCTCTACAAATGCCAGAAGCGCCAAAGAGTTTCATCTATACTGACGATCAAGCTATCACTGCCCAAACAGTGAGCTTTGAAAGGGCTGAGCAGAAGCTCTCTGAAGCTTTAGATACTCTTGCAGCCCATTACAGGGAAAACCAGCTCGCACCATCAATGTTTACCATTTATACACATGACCGGCCACTACCAGAAGGGACAGAAGTTTCATCTATGCTGATGATCATGCCATCACCACCCAAACAGTGAGCTTTGAAAGGGTTGAGCAGAAGCTCTCTGAAGCTTTAGGTGCTCTTACCGCCTATTATAGAGAGAACCAGATTGCTCCATCAGTGTTTAACCTTTACAGAAATGAGCAGCCACTTCCAGAAGGGACAGAGAGTTTCATCTATGCTGACGATCGTGCCATCACCGCCCAAGCAGGGAGCTTTGAAATGTGACCTGCACATTGAATGTTTAAATATCCATTTCCTGACATTTGAACGGAGCTCTCATTTTTGTAAACATGCTTGGTTTTGTTTCATTTTGTGCTCATTCTTCCTTTCTTCCTCCCCAAGATCACAGCGAGCTAAAAAGCAAGCTTCAGCTCCGTGCGAGAGACAACATCCGGGTGCTGATCTGCATTGAATCCCTTTGCCATCGATACACGTAAGTGATGCCCCTTTTTGGCTTTATCATGAAGAGCTGGCCATGGGGTCAGGTATCCAACCTTTCCATTTTATTTTCCTTTCGTCTGTTTTGTTTTCCAACATAAACTTTGGCGGAAGACATTTACAAAAATGTAATGTTGCAGCATGCCTCCAGATATGGTTGAAAGGGTCGTTTGAGAACTTTTGGGGACAAAATTAGCCCTATCATCACTTTCTACACTTTTCCCACTCCTTCTCTATACTTCTGATATCTCTGCGTTTCTTCTTTCATCCTTCTTTCCCATTCGCACCATCCTAGCTTCTTTTCCTGCTTGGCTTCCCACCTTTTTCTTCCCCACAATGTCGCATTCTGTCAATATTCTGTGGATCTTGACCAACTTAGTTGAGCTATTTTCCCAGTAACTCCCAGGAGGAGCCGTGGCATTTAAAGTGGGTGCAAGGGCATTCATTCTATACTGCAAATGCACCAAGAGAAGCGTATGGACCTTGGAAAACTATGCCTCCCAGGACTGCACAGCATGGAGACATGGGAGAATAATAAATAATAATAATAATAATAATAATTAATAATAATAATAATAACATTAATAATAGCATTTAAAATAGGCCCCAACTGCATTTATTCACCAGTGCAGATGCACTCAGAGAAGGATATGGACCTTGGGAAACTATAACTCCCAGGACCGCATAGTATGAAACTATGGTATTTAAAGTGGAGTCCAAGAGCATTCATTCCATAGAATCAGAGAAACCTAGATTCTGCCAAGAAGCAGGAAAATTGCATTCAAAGCACCCCTGACAGATAGATGGCCATCCAACCTCTGTTTAAAAGCCTCCAAAGAAGGAGCCTCCACCACACTCTGGGGCAGAGAGTTCCACTGCTGAACAGCTCTCACAGTCAGGAAGTTCTTCCTCATGTTCAGATGGAATCTCCTTTCTTGTAGTTTGAAGCCATTGTTCCATTGCGTCCTAGTCTCCAGGGAAGCAGAAAACAAGCTTGCTCCCCCCTCCCTATGACTTCCTATGACATCATGTCTCCTCTCAGCCTTCTCTTCTTCAGGCTAAGCATGCCCAGCTCTTTAAGCCGCTCCTATTAGGGCTTGTTCTCCAGACCCTTGATCATTTCCGTCGCCCTCCTCTGGACACATTCCAGCTTGTCAATATCTCTCTTCAATTGTGGTGCCCAGAGAATGCATCCAGAGAAGGGCATGGACCTTGGGAAACTATAACTCCCAGGACTGCACAGCACGGAGATATAATAATAATAATAATAATAATAATAATAATAATAATAATAATAATAATGTATTGTCGAAGGCTTTCATGGCTGGAATCACTAGGTTCTTGTGGGTTTTTTTTCGGGCTATAGAGCCATGTTCTAGAGGCATGCCTCTAGAACATGGCTCTATAGCCCGAAAAAACCCACAAGAACCTAATAATAATAATAATAATAATAATAATATACATCACACAGTCCTAGACGCTTGGGAAGCATTTGACTTGTGATTTTGAGATGCAAAATCCAGCCTATATATCTCGTTTGCTGTGACACACTGTGTTTTCGTGTCAGTAAAATAATAATAATAATTGTCATCATCCTCATCATCCTTCTCTCCTGGCTTTCCCATGCAACACAAGGCACAAGCATTTCACAGGAGGAAGGGAAGGGTACCTTTTGGCTCCTCCCACAATTTCCCCTCCCACTAATTGGGGAAACATTTCATTTTAAACCTGGCAGCAACGAATGCCATCACATTACAGAATTGGCCAAATTTCCGGATCATTACCAAAAATCCACTTCCTCACTACCTCCTGAAACATTGGAAAAGAATACTGGCCTCCATGCTTAAAATGCGCAAACTTGAACGCAACTTAATGTGGTTTCCCACATTTTAAGTGTAGCACTCAGCGGAATTTAGTAAATGTGATGGAGTGGTAGGAATGTTTCTCGGAAGATGCCCCATCTCTCCACGCAGAGAGCAGATGTTGCGAGCTTAGAAAAGTGGCTCAAGTGAAGTCATCTCTCTCCGCAGCGACCTCTGAAACATAATCATCCTTGCAGTAGAGGGCAGTGGCGTTCACCTCCTCTTTCCCCCAAATGCCGTCCTCTCCGTTTTCCTGGCAGAACCGTTTCCACTTTGGATCTTCTCCCAGTTGGTTGTTCTTCATCCTTCGCACCTGGCAGAATAAAAGTAACCTTTCTGGCAGCCCTTGAAATCCCATGGTGCTCATGAAGCAAGAGTTGGGAACACATCCTCTCAAATGGATCTGATCTCCCCATTAAAAGTTCTTTATTGAGGAATTTGAGCCTCAAAGGATACCTTCCGAGCCTTGTTCTTCACATTTTTGTTGGCTGGAGAAGAAGAAGCTTTGGATGTAATAATGTTCCTCTCTGGAGCTAACCTGGTAGTTTGGCAAGAGACTTTAGCATAATCCTACTATTTTGAGATTATTCCGGAGCGCCTCTTAGGACGAATGGCATATAGTTGAGATCGTATTTTCCATTAACAATAAAAACTAGACCACAGGATGGCAAATCTTGACTAGGACTATGAACTGGAATGCCCATCAACATCTGGACAGTTGTCCTACCATATCATGTCATTGGCCCACTTTGGCCAGAGGGCCATTCACACGACACAATTATAGCACTATTGTTTGATTTCAACAGCCATAGCTCTAACCTATGGAACATTGTGATGGGTACCTTGTTGAGGATCTAGAGCAGTAGTTCTCAAGCTTCATCCATTAATACAGTCCCTCATGTTTGGTGACCCCCAATCATATTTTTTTTTCATTGCTAGTGTTCCCTCACTTATTATGGGTGTTACGTTCCAGGACCACCCCGAAAAGTGAAACTCCACAAAGTAGGGACACTATATATGTATATTAGGCATGGTTCGGTCGGAATCTTCATAATTCGGAATAAATTCTGAAAGATCTCCCTTTTGAAGCAATTTCAAAGTTTTTAAGGAAACCGGAAGTCCCTTTGCCCTTCCGAAGCTTTTTCCGCCATTTCTGTTATGAATCAGTGAGTCGGAAATGATTCAGCTTTTCAAACCAGTGTGGATGGATTTCCTTCGGTTTTCTTTCCCTCCCCATCAGTCTTGGGTGAGAAATGCAGTTTTACCCTGTGTGGATGGATTCCCTTTGGTTTCCTTTCCCTCCCGGTGAGTCTTGAGTGACAGAAGCAGTTTTACCCTGTGTGGATGGATTCCCTTTGGTTTCCCTCTCAGTGAGTCTTGGGTGAGAGGAGCAGTTTGACCCTGTGTGGATGGATTCCCTTTAGTTTCCTTTCCCTCCTAGTGAGTCTTCGGCAAGAGAAGCAGTTTGACCCTGTGTGGATGGATTCTCTTCGGCTTCCTTTCCCTCCCGGTGAGTCTTGGTCAAGAGAAGCAGTTTGACCCTGTGTGGATGGATTCCCTTCCGTTTCCTTTCCCTCCCGGTGAGTCTTGGGCGAGAGAAGCAGTTTGAACCTGTGTGGATGGATTCCCTTCCGTTTCCTTTCCCTCCCGGTGAGTCTTGGGCGAGAGAAGCAGTTTGACCCTGTGTGGATGGATTCCCTTCCGTTTCCTTTCCCTCCCAGTGAGTCTTGGGCGAGAGAAGCAGTTTGACCCTGTGTGGATGGATTCCCTTTGGCTTCCTTTCCCCCTCAGTGAGTCTTGGGCGAGAGAAGCAGTTTGACCCTGTGTGGATGGATTCCCTTCCATTTCCTTTCCTTCCCGGTGAGTCTTGGGCGAGAGATGCAGTTTGATGATGTGTGGATGGATTCCCTTTGGTTTCCTTTCCTTCCCGGTGAGTCTTGGGCAAGAGAAGCAGTTTTACCGTGTGGATGTATTCCCTTTGGTTTCCTTTCCCTCCCGGTCAGTCTTGGGAGAGAGATGCCGTTTTACCCTGTGTGGATGGATTCCCTTTCAGTTTCCTTTCCCTCCCGGTCAGTCTTGGGAGAAGCAGTTTAAACCAGAGTGGATGGATTTCTTCCCTTTGCTCTCCCTTCCTGCTTCTGGAATAAAACAACTACTTTCAAAGTAAAGACCACCCAATGAAACAAGAAATAACAGGATTCAGAAGTCTTGGAAGTTTTGAAAAGTTTTGAACTTTTTTTCTGTGAAAATCGGAATTAACTTTAGATCCGAACCACCAAAACGAGTTTTGAACCATTTTTTTGGATCAACCAGGCATAATGTATATAGCATTCTGAGGATGAGGCAGAAGCGAGGAGAGATTTAAAGGCACCGCACACCTTTGCTTTGCAATCTCTCTTGATTGACTGCCTATTTTTCGAGGGGGAGGGTGAAACCCCCTTCCAGACTCCATCGTTGTCAGGAGGTGGGATTAGAATGCCCCTTTGCTGTTCAACTTTTATATAAACTCCATAGTGGACCAGCTTCAAAATATGGACTTCCACCCCCCCAAAGCTGGCGGGAAGACACATCTCCATCCTGCTTTATGCAGATGCTGCTGCTGTACTCTCTAGAACACCCATTGGGCTCAAAAGAGCTCTGAGAGCATTAATACAACATTGCAACACAGATCAGCTCCAACTTAATTACAATAAAACCAAAATCATGGCTTTTGCTAATAGGCCCAGGACTTACTCTTGGAGCATAGATGGTCATAAAATTGAACAAGTTACATCCTTCAAATATCTAGGTGTACTTTTCCAATCTAATGGTAGCAGAAGAGCTCATGGGGATCAAGTATCCAACACCGCGCAGGGGAGCTCAATTGCCATTCTTAAATATCTCAGGACAAGAAGGGGCCACTTCACACCGGCAGCATTCAAGCTGTTTGAAGCCAAGTCATTAGCCCAACTCTTGTATGGGGCTCAGCTGGGCCCCTTCCGCAGTTTTGCCCCATTAGAGCTGGTTCAGTCCAAGTTTCTGAGATCGGCCTTGCAGGTCCCTCAATGCGTTTCTAATGCCACCCTGCGACTAGAGACGGGCTTGATGAGAGTGGAGGCCAGGGTGTGGGTGGCCATACTCAACCTCTGGCTCAGACTATCCCGTGCACCCCTTGGCCTTGCCCCACTAACCATGAAGGATGACTTCCAATCCACATGGAAGCAGGCGGTAGCATCCAAAATCTCCTCATTGGGATTTTTTCCAGGTCTACTACTCGCTATGGATTACAATCAAGCCAAAGCATTTATTAAACAACGTATCACAGACACAGAGCGACAACTAGATCTGGCCTCGGTTCCAACCTTCCTTACCAATGAAGACAGCAGATACCTTGCCTCCCCCATGGCATATTTAACCAACTTAGAGGTTCCTATTCATCGAAGGGTTTTCACCCTGGCTCGATGCCACGCTCTCCCATCAGCTGTATTCGAAGGCCGCTACCGGAAGATCCCTTTCCCAGAGAGACTCTGCCCCTGTGACTCGGGTCTTGTAGAAACAACAGAACATGTGCTCCTCCAGTGCCCGTTCTACAGGGATATCCGTGCCAGGCTTATCTTACCTCTGTTATGCAAGCACCCAGGCCATTCCGGACAATTTTATACCTCCATGCTACTTGCAGATACTAATTCAGCTACAACCTACAATGTTGCAAAGTTCTGTGCAGCAGCATACAAAATCCGTCAGGGAATGACTAGTCCCAAAAGTTAACCGTGTGTCCAGTAATCTTCTTCTCTGAATCTACAATCTGGTGATGGATCTGGGCATTGTATGTTTTTACCCTGTTTCCCCTTCCCTTCTGCTCCCTCACCCATATTGTGCTTCAGTAGTTATATTTATATTTTTAATGTACCAAACCCTGGCCTCCCCCCGGGGCACCTCCTTTACCTTCTCCCTTCTCACCTCCACCTCCTCCTACTGTCTCTTTCCTCTTGTCTCCAAAACAAACCTCAACTCCATTGCTCCCATCACTTCCTCCTAAAATGATGGAGGTGACAGAAGGCTGATGTGATGTCACCACCTCCCTCCGGAGAAGAAGAAGAGACCTCTGGGAAGTGAAGGGGGGGGGGGGGAAAAAGTTAGTGGGGTCTCGGTTCCTAAGACCATCAGAAATATGTGTTTCCTGATGGCATTAGGTGACCCTGTGAAAGGGTCGTTCAACCCCTGAAGTGGTCGCGACCCACAGGTTGAGATCCGCTGAACTAGAGCTCTCCACCTGAGAATTCAAGATTTCCTAAAAGTTGCCAATTCCAGTATAACTTAGGATGCCATTATGACAGGGACAAGTTCAGATGCTTCCCAAAGTGTAGGGTTGCAATTCCCATAAGACCCAGCCAGCATGTCCCAAAGTCAGGAATGATGGGAACTGCAGTCCTCAGCTTCTAAAGGGTCCTAAATTATTGAGCGATAGGAAACATTACAAGTTATGAAACAAGTCAGGGTATCTGATTCAGAGCTTTTCTCCTGGCTTTGGTGCCCATTTCCTCTTCTTGTTTTCCATCTCCAGGTCTTTGGAGATCATTGCTGGCCTGGAAAGCAATAGCAAGATCTTCACTGTGAATGTCCATGGATTGCTGCAGCTACAGGTAAGGGGACTCGAGTCAGCAGTCTGTAGTAATCAAGTGTGGGTACTCATAAGGTACTCATAAGGGTAGCTAAGAATTTTAGGATGATACTTTTATCATTTCTTCACCCTATCCCATGGGTTGATCCTCCAAGAACCATGCCTCTTCAAATTCTACAGCACTGCTGGTCACAGCTGACCTCCAACTAGAGTGCTCAAAGGCCAGAGCTTCCCAGTTCTCAGTGTCTATGCCACAGTTTTTAAGGTTGGCTTTGAGCCCATCTTTGATAAGCTAAATGATAGTTATGATGTAGCAACCTAAATAATGTTACGCTTGGAGGTCACCACAACATGAGGAACTGTATTAAGGGGTTGTGACATTAGGAAGGTTGAGAACCACTGCTAGAAGACCATTCTTTTCCCTTTTGTTGCTTCTCTTCATTCATCTCACTCTAACTTGTATATCTCTTTGCTCTTCTGTCATGTAGGCCGGACAATACACTTCGATATTTGTCGACAACAGTGCCGGGGCGCCGGTGACCATTCAGAGTGGCTCCGATTTCATGGGAATGCTGGTGGGAGTCTGATCCCAAACAGCTCCACAACCCATTGGGACCAAGCAGGGAAAGGAACCAATCCAATCCCAAAACTTGCTTGGACTTTATCTAGATGTCTTCTGCAACTGAATGAAGCGAATCTCCTTCCTCTCCTTCCAAAACATGATGGAACGAATCCTGGGAGAGAACTTCTTTGTCCTCCATCCAAGTTTTGGATCACGTTCTTCTCTCCCTTGGTGGACTTGAAATCACTTTCCATTCCAACAACCTCAGACTTAGTTTGGATGGTGTTAAACCCAACTTCTATGACAATTTCTTACCTAATCCAGTCTATAACCTTGGGTGTTTTCGGCCTTGGAAGAGCCTTGTAGAGCCCCACATTTGAGATACAGATTGTCCCAGGTTCAGTCTCCACTGTGGACCTACAATTGAGACCCCAACACATATTCTGGATTTTAGGACCTCTTCAAAAGTCTCTCCAAAGCTAGCCACAGACAGAGAGCATTCCTATAATCTGATCTAGATGTACAAAGTTGGGCCTTCAACCATCAGACGCAAACAACATGGTCCTAGCAAAACTTACCTCCTTCTGTTCTTGGCCAGTTGTAGAGCCCCACCTTTGAGATACAGATTGTCCCAGGTTCAGTCTCCACTGTGGACCTACAATTGAGACCCCAACACATATTCTGGATTTTAGGACCTCTTGAAAAGTCTCTTCAAAGCTAGCCACAGACAGAGAGCATTCCTATAATCCAGTCTAGATGTACAAAGTTGGGCCTTAAACCATCATACGCAAACAACGTGGACCTAGCAAAACTTATCTTCTTCTGTTCTTGGTGGATACTTCTTAGACGTGGGACCAAATATAAGTTTGGAGAGTCATTTTGGGTACTGATGGGCCACCAGATCATTGTCACACTTAGTAGATTTGGGAACGATCTATTCTCACGTAACCTGCTGGGAACTTCTCAGAAAATAATATTTTTTAGAACTCTTGTGTGAGAAGTAAGTCTTGACTCTAAATAGTGGCATGGTAGTCAATTTGGAAGGACGTTGAGCATCAATCCCTCAAGAAGACTCTAGAAATGCGGGGCGCTTTGTTGATCTGGAACTTTGACCTTCTGAGCATTGTGTCTATAAGATCACAAAAGGAAAACACAATCGGAAAAACATCCTTCTTTAGCTTTGTTGAACAGGGTGACTATTATTGCCATTTTTGCTGTATTCTGATTTGTATAGACCAGTGTTTCTCAACCTGGGGAAAAGGGACCCCTGTGTGGGAAGTATGGCCCAATTCTATCGTTGGTGGGGTTCATAATGTTCTTTGATTGTAGGTGAACTATAAATCCCAGCAATGACAACTCCTAAACGTCAAGGTCTGTTTTCCCCAAACTCCACCAGTGTTCACATTTGGGCATATTGAGTATCTGTTCCAAGTTTGGTCCTGATCACTCATTGTTAGGGTCTACAGTGCTCTCTGGATTTAGGTGAACTACAACTCCCAAACTCAAGGTTAATGGCCACCAAACCCTTTTCTATTGGTCATGGGAGTTCTGTGTGCCAACTTAGGTTCCATTCCATTGTTGGTGGGGTTCAGAATGCTCTTTGATCGTAGGTGAACTATAAATCCCAGCAACTATAACTCCGAAATATCAAGGTCTATTTTCCACAAACTCCAACAGTATTCACATTTGGGCATATTGAGTATCCATTCCAAATTTGGTCCAAACCCATCATTGTTTGAGTCCACAGATCTCTCTGGATTTAGCTGAACTACAACACCAAAACTCAAGGTTAATGCCCACCAATTCCTTCCAGTATTTTCTGCAGTTCATGAGTGTTCTGTGTGCCAAGTTTGGTTCAATTCCATTGTTGGTGTTCAGAACGCTCTTTGATTGTAGGTTAACTACAAATCCCAAAAACGACAACTCCAAATGACAAAACCAATCTCACCAGTATTCAAATCTGGGCATATTGGGTATTTGCCCCAAATTTGGTCCAGTGAGTGGAAGCACATCCTGCATATCAGATATTTGCATTACAATTCATAACAGGAGCAAAATTATAGTTATGAAGTAGCAACGAAAATAATGTTATGGTTGGGGGTCACCACAACATGAGGAAGTGTGTTAAAGGGTCGCGGCATTAGGAAAGTTGAGAAACACTGACCTAGACCTTTGGAAAGCTTCTGTTCAACCCTTTCAAAGCTTCCTGCTTGAGTGGTGATGTCACGATCGTCAGCATAGATGAAACTCTTTGGCGCTTATGGCAGTTGTAGGGGTCACCATAACATAAGGAGCTGTATTAAGGGGTCGCAGCATTAGGAAGGTTGAGAAACACTGACCTAGAGCTTTGAGGAGCTTCTGTTCAACCATTTCAAGGCTCCGTGCTTGAGCGGTGATGGCATGATCGTCAGCATAGATGAAACCTTTCATCGCTTCTGTTATTTGTAGGGGTCACCACAACATGACGAACTGTATTAAGGGGTCGCGGCATTAGGAAGGTCGAGAAACACTGACCTAGAGCTTTGGGAAGCTTCTGTTCAACCATTTCAAGGCTCCCTGCTTGAGCGGTGATTGCATGATCGTCAGCGTAGATGAAACTCTTTGTTGTTTCTGGCATTTTTGGGGGTCACCACAACATTAAGGGGTCGTGGCATTAGGAAGGTTGAGAAACACTGGTGTAAACATTCTGAATCCTGCCTGAAAGAGAATGCTTTTTCATATTTCTCATTGAATAGTTTAATGTTTATTATAACAGAAAGAATGACATATTATTTAAATTATCTGCGCTCACGGTCAAGGTCTCGGCCTCACTATACGAAGGCCAAGGGGGCCATTTCCCATCGGTCTGAGCTTGCTGGACTGTTCTCAGTCAGGTTTAGTTGTGTCACACACACACATCTGGACTGAGCGATGGACATGTTTGGTCAGAAGGATTGGCTCGTACAACTCGCTCTTCGGACAACTCAACAAGCGACCCGGCGACTCCGCATTCTCGGCGCAATTGTGCCGTCGTGAACCTTCACTCCAAGATGGATTTTGGTGGAACTCTAGGACAAGAAGATGTGTCTTTCCTAAGTTGTGTTGGTCGTCAACTCTCATTGTCCTCCTTGTTGTGTTCCTCCATTTGGCAAAAGTCCATCTGGACAGTAAGCGGCATCTGTGGACTGAGAAATGATGGATGGTTTAGAAAGCCTCATGGGCTTCCCAATCCCACGAAGAGGTCTTCCCATGAAGGTGAGGAGACCTCAATGGGAGAAGGACCCAATTTCCAAAGGAGAGGTCTTCCCATGAAGGTGAGGAGACCTCATGTCCTTCTCCCATTGAGAAGGACCCAATTTCCAATGGAGAGGTCTTCCCATGAAGGTGAGGAGACCTCAATGGGAGAAGGACCCAATTTCCAAAGGAGAGGTCTTCCCATGAAGGTGAGGAGACCTCATGTCCTTCTCCCATTGAGAAGGACCCAATTTCCAATGGAGAGGTCTTCCCATGAAGGTGAGGAGACCTCAATGGGAGAAGGACCCAATTTCCAAAGGAGAGGTCTTCCCATGAAGGTGAGGAGACCTCATGTCCTTCTCCCATTGAGAAGGACCCAATTTCCAATGGAGAGGTCTTCCCATGAAGGTGAGGAGACCTCAATGGGAGAAGGACCCAATTTCCAAAGGAGAGGTCTTCCCATGAAGGTGAGGAGACCTCATGTCCTTCTCCCATTGAGAAGGACCCAATTTCCAATGGAGAGGTCTTCCCATGAAGGTGAGGAGACCTCAATGGGAGAAGGACCCAATTTCCAAAGGAGAGGTCTTCCCATGAAGGTGAGGAGACCTCAATGGGAGAAGGACCCAATTTCCAATGGAGAGGTCTCCTCACCTTCATGGGAAGACCTCTCCATTGGAAATTGGAAATAACTCAATGCTTGTCTCAAGTTACTTGTCGTTCGTACATTTGGGACATAGTGAGGCTGCCCTAACTGGTTGAGGACCATGTCGGCGGTCCATGGCTCCATCCTATAGAATTTTGGGATTTGTAGTTTTCTGAAATACTAGAATTCTATGAGCCTTATCCGGAAATTTCTTTTAAACACAAAAAATGAATATATTTTAATAAATATTACGTGGATTGTAGCTTAGAGGTCTGTCTGAAGCTGCATTACAATCGTAGCACAACTACTTTCGTGGTGTAACTCTCAGTTACTTTTATAGTTACACTAGCTTCTTCTTTATTTATTTACTATCTTGGGTACCCGGTGTTGCCCAGGTTATTTCAACAAGTCAGTTTTTTAATTGCCCAAAATGCATAAGGTTGTAGGTGAACTACAACTCCCATCATGCCAGGTCAACCCCGAGAAACGCCATCTGTACTCAAAGTTGGTTATTGTGCCATCACACCCAGATGCTGTAACGTTAAAACTAAGATGTGCTTCTCTCTCTATCTGGGTGAACTGCTGGAGTCTTTCTTTGAAGCAATAACCCCTCCAGGAGGTTGAGTCAGTCATGGGGGTTCTGTGCACCAAGTTTGGGCCAGGTGCATCATTAGTGAAGGTCACCATTTCCCTGATTGTGAGTGAACTACAACTCCCAGAAAGGACTTTCAGCAACTGATGCCAGTCAAAATATGAACATCAACAAAATGTTTATTTCCAAAGTCCTTGGCCAACTTGGCACAGCTTGATAAAGTTACAACACAAACAGTCAATTTGAGAAACCATAGAGATGTTCTTTCTTTCCCCTTTTCTTCAATTACTGAGGTAACCCTTCTCCAAATGGTAGGAAAAAATCCTGAGATATTTCACCCTAACCCTGAGCTGCTATGGTTAAAAAAAACAGGTCTTCTCCTATCTAAGCACAAGGTCAGTTTTGGAGACGAAGTAATGCTCAATAGTACTCAATAGCTATTTCTCTCTATTTCTCAATAAGTCAATTACTCAATTACTATCTCAATATCTTAATATCTCTCTATAACTCAATTGCTATTCTATCTATCTATCTCAGTTATACTCAATTGCTTTTCTTAATAACTCATTTTCTATCTATGACTCAATTGTACTCACAATGGGTTTTTCAGAGCTCCCTGCCCGACCAACAGCACATCTGAGGCTCTTTTCTCTACTGAAAGAGGCAGGGGAGATTCCAAAATGGAGATCTCAACCCCAGGAAAAAGGGCGGACTCCAAACCCAAAGAGATACTTTCTAAACCAATAACTGCAGAGGGCCTGCAGCCTGGCTTTCCAGACTCTGATACTGTTTAACTTCCAGGGTGCTGCTGGGTCTATAGCAACCCTGGGGAAATGCAATGCTAAAAGGCAACGTAAACCATGCTCCTGGAAGACGGAACAGTTATGTTGGGCAGATTTGCTCTAGATGCATCATCGGTGGGGTTCAGTGTGTTCTCTGGCTGCACAGTAAACTACAACTCCTACTATGGTGAGTCAGTCCCCCAAACTCCTCCAGTAGGTTGAGTTAGTCATGGGCGTTCTGTGTGCCAAGTTTGGTCCAGGTCCATCATCGGTACAGGCCACAGTTTCCCTAGTTGTGGGTGAACTACAATTCCCAGAAAGGAAGGTTAGTTCCCCCCAAACACTTTCAGTAATCATATTTCGGCAGTGGGCGGGATCATGCATATTCCACACCAATGGAGGGAGTCAGAAACACTGTGATGCCTATGGTGGAGGAAACACATAAAAGAAACACTTTGATGCCTGTGGTGGTGGTGGAGGAAACACATAAGAGGAACACTGGGATGCCTGTGGTGGAGGAAACACATAAAAGAAACACTGGGATGCTTGTGATGGAGGAAACACATAAAAGAAACACTGGGATGCCTGTGGTGGAGGAAACACATAAAAGAAATACTGGGATGCCTGTGGTGGAGGAAACAAATAAAAGAAGCACTGATATGCTTGTGGTGGAGGAAACACATAAAAGAAACACTGGGATGCCTCTGGTGGAGGAAACACATAAAGGAAACACTGGGTTTCCTGTGGTGGAGGAAACACATAAAAGAAAAACTGGGGCGCCCGTGGGGAGGAAACAAATAAAAGAAACACTGGGATGTCCGTGGTGGAGGAAACACATAAAAGAAACACTGGGTTGCATGTGATGGAGGAAACACATAAAAGAAACACTGGGATGCCTGTGGCAGAGGAAACACATAAAAGAAACAAAGGTGCCTATGGTGGAGGAAACACATAAAAGAAACACTGGGTTGCATGTGATGGAGGAAACACATAAAAGAAACACTGGGATGCCTGTGGCAGAGGAAACACATAAAAGAAACAAAGGTGCCTATGGTGGAGGAAACACATAAAAGAAACACTGGGATGCCTGTGGCAGAGGAAACACATAAAAGAAACAAAGGTGCCT